AACTATTACACATTGTCTTCCTTTTTTTTTCATTCTTTTGGTTTTACTTTATTGTTTCTTGATGTCCCATAGAGTCGTTAGCTTCTACTTGCTCAATTCTAATTTTTTTTTTTTTTTGCTTTTTGGTGAGGCAATGGGGGAATGGGGATTAAGTGACTTGCTCATGGTCACACAGGTAGTTAAGTGTCAAGTGTCTGAGGCCAGATTTGAACTCAGGTTCTCCTGACTCCAAGGCCGGAGCTGTATCTATTGTACCACCTAGCTACCCCCCCCAATTCTAATTTTTAAGGAATTATTTTCTTTAGTGAGTCTTTTCATTTTCCACTTGGTCAATTTTATTTTTTAATGTGTACTTTTCTTCAGTGAATTTTTGAGCCTTTTTCATTTTGGCCAATTTTGCTTTTTAAGGAGTTCCTCATGTGATTGTTGTACCTCTTTAACCATTTGGCCTAGTCTATTTTTTAAGGTGTTATTTTCTTCAGAAATTTTTTGTGCCTCCTTTACCAAGTTATTGACTCTTTTTTCATGATTATCTTGCATCATTCTTATTTCTCTTCCCAAGTTTTCCTCTACCTCTCTTACTTAATTTTTTTAAATCCTTTTTGAGCTCTTCCATGGCCTGACACCAATTCACATTTTTGGAGACTTTGGATGTCAGAGTTTTGACTTTGCTGTCTTCCTCTGTGTGTGTTTTGATCTTCCTTGTCACCAAGGTAACTTTCTACAATCAGAAAATTTTTTCTGTTGTTTGCTCATTTGCCCCACCTATCTCTTGACTTTTAGCTCTTAGCTAAAGTGGGGCTCTGCTTCCACGCTGGAGGGCACACTGTCCTAAGCTTCAAGGCTTTTGTGCAGGTGTTTTCAGAGATACTTCTAGGGATCTACAAATTTTCAGTTCTTCCAGGGTGGTATGATCTAAGGAGAGATGTTTTTACTACTCTCTGGAAAATGTTCTGGTCTGTGAGTTACCACAGACTTGTGGCTACAAGTTCTGGTGTGCAACTGCTCATCTTCAGTCCTGGGTCTGCCACCCAGGACTCTGACCCGGTTCTAAATATGGACAAAGCCACAGAGTCCTGCTGCCAATGCCAGCAAAGAGATCCCTATAATCTTTTTCTGACACCCTTACCTGTGGGCTGAGAACTCCAGAAGTAGAGGTTGCTGCTGCTGATTTAGTCACTTTGAAAGCCTGCACCTGGTTAGCTGGGGCTGGGGCTGCACTGGCACATCCTGCACTGTACTGCACTCCATTCTCACCCCACTGCAACAGACTTTCCTGTCAAACTTCTAAGTTGTCTTGGACTGGAAAATTGTTTCACTCCTGCCTTTTGTGGGTTCTACCATGCCAGAATTGGTTTTAGGGCATTGTCTAAATGTCTTTGGAGGGGTTTTGGAAAGAGTTCAGTTGAGTCCCTGCCTTCTCTTCACCATCTTGGCTCCACCCCCTACAGACAGGCTTCTGACGAATTTATAAAAGGAAGGAGAGATATGGGGGTGATAGTTAATGAGGATGGATTTGATCAAGTAAGGGCTTTTTTTGGGGGGAATGAGAATGGGGGAGACATGCTCATCTTTGTAGGTAATAGAGAAAGAGACAACTGATAGGGAGAGATGGAAGATAAGTGAGAGAGTGGGAATGAGAGAGTGGCCAATCTCCTACAGAAGGGAGGATGTGATGGAAAGAGTAGTTCATAGGAAGTGAGAAAATTGTGTGAAGATAATAATTTAAAATATACTTTTACCACTTTTTTTAAATTTTATTTTTAATTTAATTTTTTTTTTTTAGGCAATTAGGGTTAAGTGACTTGCCCAGAATCACACTGCTAGTAAGTGTCAAGTGTTTGATCCAAGGCCGCATTTGAACTCAGGTCCTCCTGACTTCAGGGCCGGTGCTCTCCACTGCGCCACCTAGAGGCCCTGAGAAAAACTACCAAGTGCACAGAGTTCCTAATTTTTTTTTTTTTTTTTGGTGAGGCAATGGGGTTAAATGACTTGCCCAGGGTCACACAGTTAGTAAGTATCAAGTGCCTGATTTCAGATTTGAATTCAGGTCCTCCTGACTCCAAGGCTGGAGCTCTATCCACTGCACCACGTAGCTGCCCCTACTTTTACCACTTCTAAGACTCAAGGGTTCTTAACCTTTCTTTTGCCTTGGACCCCTTTCAATCTGGTGAAACCTTATAGAACGTTTCTCAGAATGATGTTTTAAAACACATAGCAAAAAAAAATGGAAAAGTAACTAGATTTAATTGAAATCAAGTTGTCAGAATATTAAAAAAAAAGAACAAGAACCTCAGGTTAAGGGCCCCTCCAAATATTCTCCTTTCCTTCTGGTCAAAGGAGAATTCAGGAGATATTTCTATTAATTGAAGTAATAAAAGTTTTCTTTTTTCTTTTCCTATTCCTCCAAAAATTATCCTAACCATAGGAGGGAAGATTTCCATCTAGGTTGATGTGGAGCCTGGAGAGTGAGTTAGGCATTGCATGAGAATGATATGAAAAATTTTAGTATCTGACATTTTGTCAGAATTAATAGTTAAAGAAAAACTGATAAGGTTCCTTATTCAGATGGGACTAAGAGCTTTAGACTAAAGTACTGTTCTAAGATAATTTTGTGATATAGAGTATAAAGGGGGGGGGTTGTGCTCCATATTTTTCCACAACGTCAAAGGTAATTTAGCCAGCAAGCAACATGCTCTATGAGTAGTCCTAAGTACTTGAGGTAAGCTACACAATGTAACAATGAAGTGCACATGTAAGGAAAAGAAAAGCAATGACTTGGTTGGAGAGGATGGTATAGAAGCTAGTGGGGACTATGGAGAGATATGCAGAGGGGATTATTCCATCTGAACTGTATCAGAGAGAACTGAAAGAATAGATGAGTCATTACATCCCAAATAGCCAAGGAATGCTGAGGGAAAAAAAAAACAGTTTTTCAATGGTGAATGGCTTAGTTATTCTCAGTAGTATAATGATGCAAGATAAGTCCAAATGACTTATGATGAAAAATTCTATCCACCTACAGAGAAAGAACTGATTGAGTCTGAATGCATATCGAAGTAGACTTAGTTTTTTTTTTTTAACTTACTTTATTTTTCTTGTTTTGTCTATGATTTCTTTCACGACATGACTAATACGATAATATATTTTGTATGACTGTACATGTATAACCTATACCAAACTTCTTGCCTTCTCAATGAGGGAGGGATGGAAGGGAAGGAGGTAGAATATTTTGAACTCAAAATTTAAAAAAAATGTTAAAAAATTGATTTTTCATGTAATTGGGAAAAAAAGTTTAAAAAATCATCATCTTGTCCTAGTGTTGGGAGATGAATGGAAAATAAAGAAAATATAATTTCAGGGAGCCAAGCTCTTTGTATATATTATATGATTTCATTCATTCAGTAAATATTTATTAAGCCCATATTAAATGTGAGGCACTGTGATAAATGCTGGGGATACAAAAAGAGATAAAAGACAGTCCTTGTCCTCAAGATCTTACAGTCTAATGGGAGAGACAACATACAAATACATATAAGCAAAGCAAACTAAATATAGAATAAGTAGAAAATAATTAACAAAGAGAAGGCACTAGAATTAAGAGGGGTTAGAGAAAGCTTCTGTGTGTGGAATGGTTTTAGATAGGACTCAAAGGAAGCCAGGGAAGTCAACATTACTCTAGGATAGTGTGCTTTGGTCATCACAACAACAGTTTGAGGTAAATGCTACAGGTATTATAAAGATGAAAAAAACAGGCCAAGAGAGGTAATGTTACATGTTTGGGTAATGCTGTTCACACAGCTGAGAAATGTGTGAGACAAGTTGTAAACCAAGGTCTTCACTTCAAATTCTAGCAGTTTCTCTATTACATCAGCCCTCCTTGATATTCTTCAGAGGATCATGGATTTTTGGCTGGAATGCACCTCTGAGATCATCTAGTCCAATCCCCTTATGTTACAGAAGAGGAACCTGAAATCTGGGGAGGTGAATTGCCTTGTGAAAGATCAAAGAGGTGGGAAGAATCAGAGGTAGCATTTGTTTTCTGGACTCCTGAGTCTAGGTGACTCAGTGGATAGAGCACTGGACCTAGAGTCAGGAAGACTCATCTTCCTGAGTTCAAATCTAGTTGTGTAACACTGAGCAAGTCACTTAACCCTATTTGCCTCAGTTTCCTCATCTATAAAATGAACTAAAGAAGGAAATAGCAAACCATTAGTATCTTTACCAAGAAAACTCCAAATGAGGTCACAAAGGGTTGAACACAACTAAAAAGCACTGAACAACAACTCAATCTAGAGCCAATGTTCTTTCTACTATCCGATGTTCTACTTGTTATAGACGTGAAATATACAATAGGCCAATTTATGAATGATTTTGACATGTTGTTGTTGAGTCATTTCAATTGTGTCCAACTCTTAATGACCTCACTTGTGGTTTTCTTGGCAAAGGTACTGAAGTGGTTCGCCATTTCCTTCTCCAACTCATTTTACAGATGAGGAAACTGAGGCAAACTGGGTTAAGTGGTTTGCCCAGTATCACATAGCTAGTAAGTGTCTAAGGTCAGATCTGAGCTCAGATCTTTCTGACTTCTGCCCGGTGCTTTATCCACTATACCACCTAGATTCCCTATTTTGATATAATCACCTCTAACATGATGCATCCTTTCTCTTACTCTGGTTTTCTGTCATAATTCTGTAGTACAAACATCTCAAAACTTCTTTACATCCCCTTTTGGCTCTCTAAGACTTGCACTCATGTTTGGCCAAAAGAATCAGAATTCTGACCTGAGAAGTTCCAGATAATTTAAAATGACAGCCCAAATAAGATATTCTGCACATCCTAGATATGATTATTTAGTGTTTTAGAACCCCAAATTTGGGTGATTTGAGCTAATATCTAACCTAAACCCTTAAGGAGATAATTTAAGTGTACTTCAATGGATGAACATAGACAGCCACTTCTCAGCTGTTGACACTGTGATTTCTTTTTCACTCTGGCAGGTCAAGCTTTTCTTCTCATGAGGCATCCCTGGGCCCATCATGGCATCATCAAACAGCAGTGATACCACGGACCCTATCTTCCTTCTGAAGGGTTTCCCAGGGCTTGAGTCAGTGCATGTCTGGCTCTCTATCCCCTTCTGCCTTGCTTACCTAATGGCTTTTGGAGGGAATGTCACTATCTTGGCTGTCATCTGGACAGAGCCCTCTCTTCAACAGCCCATGTATTACTTCCTGTCTATTCTGGCCTTGACTGACCTGGGCATGTCACTATCCACCCTGCCTACCATACTTGGAGTTTTGTGGCAGAATACACAGGAGATCCAAGCGAGTGCCTGCTATGCCCAGCTCTTCTTCATCCATACCTTCACCTTCTTGGAGTCTTCAGTGCTGTTGGCCATGGCTTTTGATCGTTTTGTCGCCATCTGCTTCCCACTCCACTACTCCATTATCCTCACCAATGGTGTCATTGTCAAAATTGCCCTGGCTTGCTTGCTGAGGAGTATGGGGGTTGTCTTGCCCACACCCCTACTTCTACAACAGTATCATTACTGTCATGCCAATACCCTCTCTCATGCCTTTTGTCTCCACCAGGATGTACTGAAGTTGTCCTGCTCAGATGCTAGGGTTAACAGCATGTATGGGCTGTGTGTGGTTATTGTCACTCTGGGCATAGATTCAGTCTTCATCCTACTCTCCTATCTGCTGATACTTTTTGCTGTGCTGGGCATTGCATCCCATGAAGAAAGGCTTAAGGCCCTCAACACATGTGTCTCCCATGTCTGTGTCGTGCTCATTTTCTTTGTGCCTGTGATTGGTGTTTCTATGGTGCACCGCTTTGGGAGGCACTTGTCACCCACCATACACATCGTTATGGCTGATGTCTACTTACTTCTTCCACCTACACTGAACCCTGTTGTCTACAGTGTCAGGACTAAGCAGATCCGTGAAGGGATCATCCGCAAATTCAGGAAGAGGAAATTGTTTTAGGGGAAATTTTCCTCCCTCAACCCTCCTACCAACTCTCCATCTGATGGTTATGGGTTTATTAATCACTTCCCCCAGACGGATGCCAAACTATTATATTCAATGACAGACCTGTTATTGAATGTTGCTTCCCCTGCTATATGTCTTCTCACCTGGGACATCTTCCTAAAAGGATTTTATAACATAGGATATTCTTTACTGTTTCAAAAGTTTACCCAACTCTTAATATAGAATCAGAACTTTGGCACCTTGAAAATTCTAAATCCTTGCTGTCATGGTTGTTGGCTATAGACTGTACCCACTCCTCAGCCATTGGGAAGTGTCTGTCTGTGTCCTCTCTCCTTGCCCTATCCTTACTTCTTTCCACTGTCTCGTGATAGGCTCTCTGAGTTGCTGAGACAGACACTCCTACCTGGAAGTAACTTCAGCTTAGTAGATCTTTAATACCCAGCTGCTCAGCCACAGGAAAGACAGGCCAAGTGATGCTGGTAGCTCACATTCATGTAGTTTTCCAAGGTTCACCTTACATTCAATAGAGGCCTTTACATATATTATCCCTTTGGGGAATAAGCATTTATATATTGTTGACTATGTGCCAGGTACTGTGCTAGATGCCGTGTGTGTGTGTGTGTGTGTGTGACAATTGGGGTTAAGTGACTTGCCCATGGTCGCACAGTTAGTAAGTGTCATTTGTATGAGGCCAGATTTGAACTCAGTTCCTCCTGATTCCAAGGCCTAAGCTCTATCCATTGTGCCACCTAGCTGTCCAGACAATTTTTTTCTTTTTTCTTTCTCTCTCTCTCTCTCTCTCTCTCTCTCTCTCTCTCTCTCTCTCTCTCTCTCTCTCTCTCTCTCTCTCTCTCTCTTTCTTTCTTTTTTCTTTTTTTTTTTTTTAGGTAATTGGGGTTAAGTGACTTGCCCAGGGTCACACAGCTAGTAAGTGTCAAGTGTATGGTCTGAGGCTGGATTTGAATTCAGGTCATCCTGATTTCAGGGTCTGTGCTCTATCCACTGCACCACCTAACTGTACCTGTAGATGCCTTTTATAAATATTATCTCATCTGATCCTCACAACAACCCTGCTGTTATTATTCCCATTGTACAGCTGAGGACACTGAGGCAAGTAGAGGTTAATTGACTTGCCCAAGGTCATGCAGCTTTCATAGGTCACATACAGTTTCATTTGATGGTCACAACAACCATTGCCCAACCACAGTAATCACCCCAGCAGTGGTCTGGGCTTCTTGGTCCTTATCTCTTTTCTCTTCTACTTTATTTCTACATTATACAGGTTATGATTTTCACTGGTCCCCCAAATGTGACTCTATATCTATGAAACAAACTAGTGAGCCTAAAGTATATGGCCACCCTTTGGCTTTGTGCAGAATCCTGGTTTCCCATGGCCTGCCCTTTCTCACTTATGATCACTGTTCAAAACTGAAAATACTGTAAATAATTTGGATGACGGTTCACTAAATGTTTGCCTCAATCTTCCCTACATGGAGCCCATCTGTCACTTTTTTGACTATTTATGTATCTTCTCTAGGTCTATAGGTAGGTTAGAAAGAATAATAGACTTGGAATCATTAAAACAAAATTAGAGATCTCTTTTCATAATTTGTGAAAGTGGGTAAGGCACTTCATCTTTCTTAGCCTCAGTCTTCTCATTTGTAAAACAGAGACAATAACATAACATTTACTCCATCATGTTTTTGTAAAGAAATCATGGTGGAAAGTAGAGCTATTATTATGGTTATTACTTAAGATGTTTTACAATGATTTGCCATTTTATTATATAAAAGCTCTATGCTTATGTATAGGGCTCTTCTTGCCACACAGAGGAAGAAAAAATTAGAAGGAATATATAAGAAATTCTTAGAGCTCAAAACTTGGGGAAGGAAGATCTCTCAAAGCATTAGCTCATATTCCTATGGAAATGTCTAGATTAGCCCACAATGAACACATCTAGGGTAGGACCTAGAACTCAGAGTAAAAGAAATTGATGTAGGTTCTGGGATATAATCAGTTAAGGATTTTTGCCAGTAAAAGAAATAGGAATAGGACTTAGATAAAAAGATAGGGGCATTATTCCGAATAACCAGAGCAATGGCTTCTTTTATGTCTACTAATTTTGTACTTGAGAAAGGAAACTGAGTCAGTGTGAGTCAAAGAAAGATAGGACAGATATTTTATATAATATTCCCTGTCTTATACACAGTACATATTTTCCTCTTTCCTTACTTCTTTTTCACATATTTTCTTATTTACTCATTCATTCATTCTTTCTTGTTCTCACCATCATTAATTCATGTACACATAAATTCATTTTTTAAATGAACATTTTTTTTAGTACAAGGCATTATGCTGAACATGTCTTTATTGAGAGTCTGATTTTGCTATGTACAGTAGAAGGAAAAAACAAAACAAAACATATACACACATTCATGGCTCCACTGGCCTCCTGTCCAACATATATACTGTCCTAATTCTTGTCTTAGGAGAGAAAATTCATAAACGTAGTGATTGCCCCAGGACATAGATATTTTTTGTTGTTATTGTTGAGAAAATGGATGTAAAGTGCTTTGTAAACCTTAAACCACATATATGTCAGCAATTATTATTATGGTTGTTGTTCTTATATGGAATTGAGATCACATATCATTATTATTAATATAATATTTGTTTTAAATATCAAGTAGTAGTTCAAATACTGATCTGTAAATTTTAGTAAAAAAAACATATTAACCATATAGGCTTAAAGAGGAGTGAACACATACAAAGAAAATAATTTAGATCAATGTGTGACACCAAGAAACTGCAAGAAACTCTCACAAGCCAATATCTAGTCAGTCAATAAACCTTTATTAAACATTCACTACGAGTCAGTCTCTCTGTTAATCATTTAGGATACAAAGACAAATTACAAAAAAAAAAAAATTCCCTGCCCTCAAGGAGCACACAATGCAGGCAGAACATATAAACAACTAAGTACAAATAGAAAACACAAAAAGAAAGAACACAAATTATAAATTTAAATTAAAAAAATCAAGATCACTAAAATTCAGAAAATATCACTCCATACACAGCCCCTGTTTTTCTTCCTAGTACTTCACCAGATACTCAGAGGTATTGGATCTCTCCCTCCCATACAGATAAGGATGGGTAGGTTCGAGTGAGGCCATAAATGAAGGAGTACCAGAAAGCCTCTTTCAATGATCTTATTAAGAGATAAGAATAAGTTGCATGTCATCATGATGAAATTTCTGGATATGAATCAGAAGATATGGGTTGATTCTCTGCCACTTAGTGCACTATCTATTTGATCCTGGAAAAGTAATTTCAGTTCCGTGGGCCTCATTTTCTTCATATTTGAGATAAAGGAATAGGACTCAGTGACCACTAAAGTCCCTTTTAGTAGCTGATCCAGAATTCTATAATCAAGTGTTGAAGACCTCACAGTTTCAGTGGAAAGACATTCTCATTTTGAATATTCATTTTTTAGTATACTTTTTGTTGTACTTAGCTGAAATCTGCCTTTATGTCCCTTCTATATACCTTTTCCCATTTCTAAGTAAACCAAGTTTCTTCCCTCTTTTATGTGACAGGTCCAAACACAAGGACTCCTTTTTAGCTCCAGTCATCATCTGTCTCATTTCATCAAACTTCTTCTGCTTCAAGAAAACAAACAAACAAGACAATTTAGGTCCTTCATTGCCAATGCCATAAGATATGTGAAAATTCTTTGGAAAAAGATTAAAATGCTAAGTAAAGGTGAGGTATGATCATTACTATTAAGAAGAAAAGGTTTTGGGTCCCCTTATCCCTTCTGCTTCTTGAACTTCTTGAGGATGTGCAGGCGAATCTGTTTGGTCTTGACACTATATACAATAGGGTTCATTAGTGGTGGGACAAGCAGGTAGACATCAGCCATCAGCACATGGACAATTGGGGAGGCATTCTGTCCATAACGACGTATCATGGACAACCCAATCATGGGCGTGTAGAAAGTAAGCACAGCACAAATATGGGAGATACAGGTGTTGAGAGCTTTGACCCTCTCTGTCTTGGAGGCAACACTCAGTACTGTGACTACGATGAGCATGTAGGATAGCAGAAGCAGTACTGAGTCCAGTCCCATGGAGGAGATGACCACCAGAAGTCCATAGATGCTGCTGATCCTACGGCTGGACACTGTCAGCTTGATGAGATCCTGGTGTAGACAAAAGGGGTAGGAGAGAGTATTGATGGTATGAAACTGCAACCTTTTCAAAAGGAAAGGAACTGGGAAGACCAGCATCAGGGCTCTTCCAGCACTGGCTAGTCCAATCCTAATAATTACACCATTAGTAAGGATAGCTGAATAACGAAGTGGCTCCCGGATGGCTACAACACGGTCAAATGCCATGGCCAGCAACACGGCTGACTCAATGATGGAGAACACATGGATGAAGTACATTTGGACTGCACAGGCAATGAAGGAGATCTCCCGGGCATGGAACCAAAAGACGCTGAACATAGTGGGCAGAGTCACAGTAGACAGACCCAGATCTGTCAGAGCCAACATGGACAGAAAGTAGTACATGGGCTGGTGGAGTGAGGGCTCTGTCCGAATGATGAAGAGGATGGTAATGTTTCCTGCAATGGAAATGATGTAGATCAGGCAGATGGGGAGGGAGATCAAACTATACTTGGCCTCCAATCCTTGGAAGCCTGTTAAAAGGAACTGAGGATAAAGCGCAGAGTTATTGAAGACAGACATCGTACTAGCTGGAATAGATTCCTTTCCTGGAAAGAAAGATGAAGAGTCACTAGGTCCTACTGTTCTGATCTACAAATGAATATAATGGAAAAATAACACCATCATTTGCCATTATCAACATCATTACCAGTACTTTCATTTGTCATTAGTCCTATCATGTCTATATGGAAGACCTTTTACATATCCAGTATACTACTAGGCCCTGTGGGGAATGCTATTAAAGTATATGACCTGGTCTCCACCTACTAAGAGGGCCAGCTGGGGAGATAAAGTATATGCATTAAGTAATTTTCGTGGAAGAAACTCTTAGTATCCTGTTTCTCTCCTTAATGCTGAACTGCCGATGTTAGGAAAGGAAACGTGTTGGAAAGACACTTTTGTTATAGAATAGGGTGGAAAACTGTTAATCAGATATTATCAAAGGTAATTTTTATAGTGATCTTAATTGATGTAGTTATGGTAGGCCAGGCTCACAGTCCATAATTAGGCATATCTAGTGAATAGGGCTATATCAGACAGTGGAAAGAGCAGTGCATTTGGAGTTCAAGCCTGGATCTTCTATTTCATTGCTATATACTCTTGGACAAATTACTTTATCTGAAATTTAGCTTTGTCATTTCTAAAATGGGATTATTGGTCTAGATGTCCTTCTTGTTAATTACATGAATCTTCCTGAAAAGGTCTACTTTAATAAGATACTCATAGTCAGGACACTCCATTGTGGTTTGTACCTAATAGGAAGAACTCTCATTTAATCATGCAAACTCATGTAAGAGGCAAGGAAAACAAACAAATACAATACCTTTATGGATGAAAATCTCTGATTCTAGGATGTGGTCCCAATTTGTTATCTGAAATGCACTTCAAAGATCCTCCACTGATTTCTGGACCAGAACAATCACAGTTGGTCTAAATAAATACCAGCAACAGTGAAACTTACAACACTCTTCTATATTTATCTTTGGTTACTTCCCTGAATCCATAAAGGCAGTCAACTGAAAAGCAAGGTGGGTCAGTGGGTCAGAGTGCTAGACCTGGATGGGGAAGATCTAAGTTCCAATTTCACCTCAGATTCTGGGCAAGTCACTTAACTTCTCACACCTTCAATTTTCTCATCTGTAAAATGGGGGTATTAATGACAAATTAATAACCAAAACAACATTATTGTCAGGATCAAATGAGATAAAATATATAAAGCACTTTATAAAACTTAAAGTGGCTATGATGGCTATTTTTATATAGGTGGCAAAATGGATAGAGTACTGGGCCTGGAGTCATGTGTCACCCAGGGCAAGTCATTTTTGCCATGTCTGTCCCAGTTTCCTCATCTATAAAATGGGGGTAATAATGGTACCTACTTCCTAGAATTGTTATATGTATAAAATGAGGTATCATTAATAAAGTTCTTTGTAAATCTTAAAGCTCTGAATTATTATTGTTATGATTATGATTATTTCATGAACTGACAACTCTGGTTTACCTGATATTCACAACCCAGTTTTCCTGACATAGAATAACAATGCAAATATAGGTTTCTGTTTTTAAAAAAATAACCTAATCTTCAAATTGGATTGCTGTTGTTGTTGTGGTTGTTCAGTTGTTCAGTTGTGTCCAACCCTTCATGATCACCATGGAGTTTTCTTGACAAAGATTTGGGAGTGGTTTGCCATTTTGTTCTCAGTCGTCTCCGTTTTATAATTGAGGAAGCAAAAGCAAACAGAGATTAAGTAACTTGCCCATGGTAACACAGCTAGTAAGCATATAAGTAAGCTAGTAAGTGTAAGTGAGGCCAGATTTGAACTCAAGTCTTCCTAACTTCAGGCCTAGCACTGTATCCACTGATCCATCTAGCTGCCTCAAATTTAATGGACCTAAATGGGTATCAAGCCCAACCTGTGTATGAATAGGGATCCACTCTACAATATCCTTAAAAATTGGTTCTTCAGATTCTATTTGAAGTCTTCCTTTTGCTTCTGGGATCAAATAAAAATTCCTATCTGATATTTACAGACCTTCACATCTGTCTTCAAACTATCCTTTCAGACTAGTTTTATGTTACTCCCCTTCACATATAACATTATAGTTAAACTGTGAAACTTGCTGTTCTTCATGTCTGACATTTAAAGTCCTTTCTTGGCACCTTTGCACAAGCTGTTCTCCTTCTTTGAAATGTCACTCTTCCTTACCTCTGTCTCTTGGAGTGCTCATAAGCCCTCCCCTCCCCCCACAAGGCTTTTCTTCATTCCTGTCCTAGTTACTAGCTTTTCCCATCACGACCCCAGAAATGACTTTCCATTTACTTCACTTTTATTTGGCATTTGCTTATTTATGTGCATTAACAACACCACTCTCCACCCCCCAACCCCATATAAGATCCTAGACAATAGGGACTGTTTTATTTTGATTCGTTGTTGTCTTTCTTTGTATTCCACTGCTTAAAGCAGGTCCTGGGACATAGCAGGAGCTGAAAAAAAAACTATCTTATTGAATTGAAATCTTTCAATAACTGGTAATGCATTATGTGAAACAGCCTGTTCAGGTTTTGGATTGCTTTCATTAAAGCAGGAAATTAAATTTTTGAACTGCTTTAATTGTTAGCAAGTGGGTAGATGCACTGATCAGCTTAAGTTGGCAGCTTTCCTTTTCTCAGCTCTGTATTTGCCCAATCCGCTCATTCAATACTACTTAATAATGACCTATATTTCCTCTTTGCCTTACCCACTGGGTGATGGTTTAAGGTAATGTGTACTGGACACTAACGTATCATCCATTTATAATACTTTTGTATTCTCGAATTCTCTATACAAAAAGACAAACTCAATAGCACATGTTTATAAATAGCCTTGTGACTTCATATAATATAGTATCAAAATCCCGCTACATCATAAAAGAAGGGACTGGTATTTTGCTATGGCTTGACTGAAGTAGATAGCACCTGAGCTCATACTTGCACCCTGCCCTCCCCTACTATATGTATGTATTTATATGTATGTATATATGCATATGCATGTATGCACATCTATAATGTATGCATGTCTATTTAAATATATGTATATATACATACACATACAGCTATCCTTTCCACATTGCAACTTTCCCCATTATGGTTATGGGAATTTGGGGGGAGTTTTCTCGAAGCTGAAGATGACACACAAAAACCAGCAGATGACATAGAAAAAGTTGAGAAACTCAGAAATGCATAAAATATATGTATAGTATTATACAATATCAACACCCCATAAAGGAAAATGAAAAAATTCAGACTTCTTGTCTAGTATGGAGGGAGGACCAAAAAATTTTATGCGAATTTTTCAGATCTTGGGAGTACCATGGCTCTCCTAACTACTGGGATGTGGAAAAGATAACTGTGACAAATTTTTTAAAAATAACCAAATAATTTCTTTGCTTTTGTAGCTTCCACTTTGTGGACTCCCTGAGACAATGTGATGCCATGGAAAAGCACTACTACCATTATTAATTACTGCCTATGTGACCTTGGACAAGTCATAACTGCCTTGGGACTCAGTTTCTTCATCTGTAAAACTATTTTAGTGGGTTGGACTGGATGAACTCCAAAGTCTCTTGCAATAATCTATGCTTTAATCTTGTGATCTTCTGAATTAACAATCCCAGAATGTCTTCCGTTACCCAAAAATTCTGTGTATCTCCTGGTAGGTAGTTTCTCCTTAAAGACAGAACTCTTAATAATATTCACCCCTATTTTAAAATTAATTCCCTACTCTTTCAGAATTTGTGATATTTCCTACATAGGCTGAATGGATGGATGCCTTGAATTGTATATGAAATAAAAACCATCTATTAGGAAAATTAATGAAGGTTATTAAGATTATAGGATCAATTTTGAACTTATGGGGGCAATATGATGTAGTGCAAAGAACATATTGGACCTATAGGCAGCTAGGTGGTACAGGGGATAGTGCTATAGGCCTGAGGTTAGGAAGACTTGAATTTAAATCCAGCCTGAGACTCTCCTTCTTCCTTCCTTCCTTCTTTCCTTCCTTCCTTCCTTCCTTCCTTCCTTCCTTCCTTCCTTCCTTCCATTTGAAGGACTATAAGAAGACATAGATTCTGCTCCCAGCTCATCTATTAGCTAGTGTTGTGACCTTGGCCAAGTCATTTTCCTTCCCTGGGCCTTTCATTTCTTATCTGTACAGTGAGAGAATAGGTCTAGATAGAAGATGCTTAAACCTTTTTTGTATTTCATGGATTCCTTTGGCAGGCTAGTGAAATCTATAGATCCATTCTTGGAAAATGTTTTAAAATGCATAAAATAAAAATGCACAGGATTATAACCTAAATCAATTTAATTGAAATATAGTTATAGAAAGGATGGAGGTCCCTTAGTCAGTAATATGGAAATTGAGGTAAGTAGAGGATTTGAAAAGAACAATAATGTTTTGGGCATGTTGAGTTTGAAATGTATATGGGGACATCCAATTTGATATGTTCAAGAAACAGTTTGTAATGAAGGAATGGAGCTCAAGAGAAATATTAGGACTGGATAAATAGATCTGAAGATCATATACATAGTGAGATAGATTATTATCTAGATATTCACCAAACCTTCCACCACCTCCCTGAGTGAGGAAACCCAACTCATGGCATATATTGCCCCTACAGTTATTTTTTAGCCAAAGTGTTCACAGGTATTCAATTCTTCCCTGCTCCCCTCCCTAAGTGATCCAAACGACCTATTTATTCCTTTGCCTCCAGTTGTAATAATCCTTCCCAAAGCTCAAAGTCCCTCCCAAGGACTTCACACTTACCATGCCTTCCAAAAATTTTCCCCATCATCCACTCAACAAGAATTTACTAAAGTACCTACTATGTGACCGACACTGTGCTAAGCACTGAGGATACAGAGAAAAGTAGCAACATGGTCCTGATCACCAAGAGCTCACCTTCTAATTGGGGAGACAACATTCAAGTTCAAGTGGCTATGCACATAAAACACACATACATACAGTGTAAATGCAGGTAGTCTTAAGCAGAAGGAACAAGCAGTGGGGGTGTGGTGAAGCTAGAAAGACCTTCCTGCAGATGGTGGAGTTTGAGCTGAGTCTTGAACAAAGATATGGAGGCCAGGAGGCGGAGATGAGGAGAGAGCTTTCAGAGCATGGAGGAAAGCCAGTGAACCAACATGAGTCAGGAGTACTAGCAAAAAAAGTTCCTCCTGAGGTAGCTGGTGGCACACTGGATAGACACTAGGGCCTGGAGTAAAAAAGATCTGAGTTCAAATTGAGCCTCAGATACTCAATAACTATGTGACCACAGGCAAGTAACAGCCTCATTTTTCTCAGTTTCCTCAACAGTAATATGGGAATAATAATATCACCAACTTTGTTGGGTTGTTGTGAGGGTTAAATGAGATGCTATTTTTAAAAACTGCTCAGCACAGTGTCTGCCACATAGTAGGGACTGTATCCCTCCTCAAAGTATCACTATATTCTCTCCTCAAAAAATAAAAATTTTAAAAATTTTAAAAAGTATTCTCCTTATAGGGCCCTGGATCCCAGTTCAGCTCACCTTCTTTCCTCAGGTTTTTCTTCCTCTGTCAGCAGTAGACCAATCGGACTGGCAGCTCCCCAGATTCTCACTTTTATAGACATTGGTCCTGGTGGGAAAAGCAGAATGGGCAATGAATGACCTTTTAAGAGAAAAAGGCCTTGGGAGAAGAATAAGAAAGAGAAAGCAATCAAGATTCAGGTCTCTGAATGTTTATACAACTCAACAGCTCTGTAAATCTTTATCACTTATCTGTCTAGGAGGCTGAAAAAGTTCTATTTGTGACTTCAGCTTGTCACAAAGCCAACCTGCAGAGCTGGGAGAACAGTATATTCCTCTCCAGGGACTGTACTCTTCCTCCTGGCCAGCCCTTGACTTCGAGACCAGTCCCTCGGGAAGAAAGGAAATTTACACTTTCTTTTTAGGTCCCTAAGTCACATAGACTCATCCCTTAGAACAGAACCAATGACCTGTTTTCAGAAGGTTTGGAAACATGTGTGTTCTTGGAAGCTAGAAAGACAAAAGGAAGGAAACTAGGGAGAAGGAAGTAGCTCTGAAAAAAGGCAGATGAAACAACAATGAAACAACCTAAGGCTCTATAAAGAGCTGCTGAGGACAGCGAGTATTTGTGAAAAAGGAAGATATTTGATGAAATATAGTATATGGCTAGCTAGATGACACAGTGAATAAAATGCTGGGCCTGGAGTTAGGAAAACCCATCTTCCTGACCTCAGACACTTACCAGCTGTGTGACCCTGGGCAAGTCACTTAACCCTGCTTGCCTCATTTTCCTCATTTGTAAAATGAGCTGGAGAAGGAAGTGGAAAAACTGCTCCATTACCTTTGCCAAGAAAACACTCAATGGGGTCATAAAGAGTCAGACATGAATAAAAAAGTGAGTGAACAGCAACAATTATGTTATATTGTATATTTAATGTCCTCTGAGATGTAGAGGAATCTCATTCCAGTCCTTTGTGAAGAAAAATGCTTACCGTTATCAATTGTTTGCACCTTTGTCTTTGTTTTCCCTTCACTTGTCTTGGCAAGATTATGTGTATATGGATGAGAAGCAGGAAAAAAAATAAAACATCTCTATGAAATTCTGTGGACTCAAGGAGCAAAAGCTTTAGGAGTAGATAGGATTTAGGGAGGTGTTTTAGATCAGGAGCTTTGAAGCTTTTATTTTCTCAAATACCCATTTCCTCATCTGGTACAGTCAATGGATGCCTTCTTAGAATGTTTGTTACCCAACATTCATGCTTAAGGGAAATGCTAAATTTCAATTAGATATGTGTGAAAATAAGAATGTAATCCCTCCCCCCCCCACAAGTTCATGTATCCCCTGAAATCCATCCATGAATTCCTTTGGGATCCCTGAAACCCAGGTTAAGGGAACCTGGATTATATACTATTTCAAGACAAGAAAAATAATAAAGGGAAATGTGCCTGAAGAATATCATTTTCCATACTCTGTATCAAGGAACTCTGTTCTTCCATGCATTATATATAGCATCTTTGTGAAGAAATTATGTTGAAATATGAAATACTAAGTTTATTTTTATCCCTAGAACTTAACACAGTGCCTGAAACCCTTAACGAATGTTTCTAACTGACTGACCCTGGGCAAGTCATTTAACTTCTATCTGTCCCAATTTCCTGATCTCTAAAAGTGAGGATGATAATAATAGCACCACAGCATCACAGCATCACAGCTGAGTGAAGATGGGATGTGGTTATCGTGATGCTCTGTCTTGAACTGGTTCTTTGCTTAATGCAAACATTATTTTGTGCTTTTCACCTCTGGAAGAATTTTATGACTATTCTCCATGCTTCTTTCCATATGACTTTTCCTATTACATATCCATCCCCCCCAACTAGGTTAATTTTCCTGAACTTATTCCTAGTTATCTGAATTGGTTTTCTTGGTGAAATTTAATTCAGTCTCTCCATTTACTCCTTTTTTTCTTGTTTTGGACCATGTGTATTCATCACCCTGTCCTCATGCCAGTCATGCCCTCTCCCTCCAATGTTGTAATTGGATGCTGATATCTGGTATCTTAGCACTTGATCCTTAAGTTATCATTTACAGGACAGAGTTCAGACACAGAGGCTCAGCCATGAAAGTAGCTTTGAAAAGTCATTGTCTGCATGTCATTGCCTCTGATCAGAATAGTCAGTTCACCAACCAAGAAAGAGGGAGTAGGAATAAAGCTATAGTACAGAGCTGTCTTCTTTGGAAGAGATTACACACCCATCTCCTTGCATGAGACATGGTTTATCACACATCAACCGGAAGGTTATTTTTTTTCCCCTGATGTTTGACTTAAGTCCTTCCTGAGGAAAAGACCATTCTTTTCATATTCCATTTTCAGTGGAAATGGAGAAGAGTAACTCTTTTTTACTTTTACACTATCCCTTAGATTCATCCTGCTTCTCTTTGTCTTTAACCACCCTTCTATTCCCTTCTATTCCACCCTTCTGTTCTATTCTATTCTATTCTATTCTATTCTATTCTATTCTATTCTATTCTATTCTATTCTATTCTATTCTATTCTATTCTATTCCAGGCTCTCATTATGTCAACTTGGATTATTTCAGCAGCCTTCTAACTCATTTTGTTGGCTCCATTTTGCCAACATTCACCCCAGCTTCTAATCCATCCTACAAATGTTGCCAGATCAATCTTTTCTTGGAAAAATCTAGTGAGAGGGAATCCATCTACTTCCTCCTGTAGCAATCCATTCCACTTATGAAATATCTAATTGTTTGGGATTTTTGATTTCTTTTTCTTGAATCAAAATAGTCCTACAACTTCCATCCTTTTACTGTTCAGCCTTCTGGAGCCAAGCAGGAAAAAGAAGGCTAATTTCTCTTCAAAATTACAATGCTGCAGATGCTTGAAGATAATGGTTGAGGTATCTATTGCATTCCTAATATTTTTTTTTCTTATAGGAAAACATTAATCCTCCACTGATATTTGTCTTTGCATCCATCTTTTGTATGTTTTTTAAGTTGTAGTATGAATTATCTTGTATACATGTTGATCTCATTAGGTAACTTCTCTTTTGAATTCTTCATAAGAATAATTTTTAAAATTTATTTCTTTAAACCTTCTTATTCCTCACTTACCATTTTTCTGAATGCTTTGAATTTAATTTGCCAAGATATTGCCTTTGTCTCTCGCACTGATCATTTTTCTCACTTCTTTTCAATGTCTCTATCACTATGATTCAAGATTAAGTTTCTCATTTTTAGCAAGAATTGGGTCCAAAATAGCAGTCTTACTATTGTTGTTCTGATCATTCAGTGGATGAATTTATTAAAAGACATCAAGAAATAGCTAGCTGCTCTGTTTTTGGCATAAAAAAGTATTCCATTAGATATTCAAATAATTGAAAGACCCTATCACTTCAGTATCATTTCTCTATGCCAATTTTGGGATATATTGCATGAAATAATCATCTATTTCCTCTTTCTTGTCAGGGAGTCAGTAGAATGCTCCAATGATCATTTCACTTCTTGAGTCTTCCTCCATTGTTCTTCACCCAAATAGCCTCCCTACTTACATTCCTGGATTTCCTCACCTGAGTATATTTTCTTAATGTCCTATGCCAACCCACCCCTTGCCCCTTTTTTGTGTATCCTTTTCTTTTAGAATAAGATCTTCCTGAGCCATTTTAATGAGTCTATTTCCAGAAAGTCTCAGTGATATTTATAATGTCAAATTTCCCTCTCAGTGATAGAATCTATTGTTCAACTTACTTGCCATTCATATTTTGTATATTTGTTTATAATGATTGTGCACTCAATGCAACCTCTTAGGCTGAGATGCAGCAAAGTATGGATCTCTTCTATGCTGCTTATGATAATTTTGCTTAACAATTAACACCAAGAAAACACAGGTTTTCCACCAGGAAGCACCACACCATCCATATGTTGGATACAGCAAATGGAGACATTTTGAATGCTGTGGAGAAGTTCACTTACCTCATAGTATACTTTCCAGGGTTTTTCACATAGATGATGAAGTTGACACACACATTCCAGAGCTAGCTCAGTGTTTGGGAGGCCCCAAAGAAAAGTGTGGGAGAAAAGAAGTATTGGATTGACTACCACACTGAAAGTCTGCAGAGTCACTGTGCTGACCTCATTGTTGTATGCCTGTGAAACCTGGACAATATACCAGTGCCATGCCAGGAAACTGAATTGCTTCTATTTGAATTGTCTTAGGAAGATTCTGAAGATCACCTAGAAAGATCAGGTACTGCACCCTGAGGTCCTTTCTTGAGCTGAACTGCCAACTCTACTTTGGAGAGGGCAACTCTGTTGGGCTGGCCATGTTTAAATGCTAAAAGTATGTTTGCCTAAAAGACTATTTTACTGAGAACTTATGTAAGGCAAATGCTCATATGGAGATCAGAAGATAGGATACAAGAACACTCTCCCGGTCTCTCTGAAAAACGTGGGAATCAATTGTGAGACATGGGACACATTGGCACAGAATCATCTAGAGTGGAGTACCTACATCAAAGAAGGTACTGCAGTCTATGGGCAAAGCAGAATTGCAGTAACTCAAAAGAAACATGAGATGCCCAAATTTAGAAACATCTCCACTCCAAATGATCATATGGACTATTTGTGCCAGACCTGGGGGAGAGCCTTCTAAGCTCATATTGCTATGATCAGGCACAGCTGGACACCCTGTACCTTGATCTCAACATAGTGGTGTCATTTTGGTCCCCTTTGAGAACGAAGGACAATAACCAACCAACCATTTGCCTATTGGCACACAAAATCATCAATTTTATTGTTCACTCCTCTTCTGTGAATTTCTGGGCAATTCAGTTCCTATTCTTTTTTCTATACATAACAGTTCTTTGTGGTAGCTAGGTTGATGGATGTGCATATAAACAATTTTATTCCTCTCTTTTGCTTTTTTAAATAAATCTGCAAGTATTCAGGCAAGCAGAGTTTTACTAGCTCATTAGATATAGAGGTGTAGTCCATTCCTGGCAAAGAGATCTACATTCTTATGTTTGAGGTTGTGTCTTAAAATTCAAATCCTTTCTCAGATAGGAAAATGACATTAGTTTGGGATTGATTGAAGTAAAAAAAAAGTGAAACAGATTTAAGCAAATTATCCTACATATTATTTCTTACCACTTAGCAGTTCAATAAATATTTTTTAATGATACACAAACTGCCACTTCAGAAAAAAAAATAGCACAGAATTTTTATTCTAATGTAATCTAATTTGTGTATACATATATATGTATTGTGCATATGAATATATATGTGTATATGTATACATGCAGACATTTATACTTATGTGTGTTATTTTGTGTGTACATGGGTACATATATGTATGCTTATCTATATAGACATACAAATATATTTGCTTGCTTGCTCATTCATTTATTCATACATTCACTTATTTATTAATTCAATCATTTAGTTATTTACTTGTCTGGTTATTAATTTATTTACTTATTTATTCATTCAGTCATCTATTTACTTATTTGTTTGTTTGTTCATTTGTATGCATACACATATCCAGCTGAGATCTCAGGAGCAAGGAGATGAAGATGTTGTGATTCCTTAGCTCTGCTTCTCAAGTTCAGTCTCTACCAACTTAATGGGCAGTACAGGGACCTATGGTCTTGTATCAAGTTATGAAGGTGGCAGCTCCTTAATTGGCTAATAGGGATTACTTCATCAGCAAAATGGTTTGTGAAGATGGCAGTATCAAAATCATTCAATTAATATTTATTCATTAAGCACTTACTATTTGTTAGGCACTGTGTTAAGCCCTGGGGATACAAAAAGAGGACAAAACAAAACAAAAAGTCTTTTCCCTCAAAGAATTTATGGTCTAATGGGAATGCAACCATTCCAGGAATTTGGGGAGAACTAGCACCTCTGATGTGAGGGCTTGCTGAGCCCTTTTTAGGTCTGCTCATCCACCTTTGGTGTCCACCTGCCACTCAACTCTCACATGTAGTTCCAAGATGCTGTAGCATGTGCAGAGGCCACACTCTGCTAAAAGTGTCTTGGCAAACTGCCTAAACCAGGTTGAGGATCACCAACAGGCCTCAGACTTGTCAGTGAGTTAAGGGGGTTTCTACTCCAAACAGGCAAAGACTTTCCCTAGCAGAATGGGCCAATAAGAATAACTTATTCCAATGGCCACAAAGGCAGCTGAAACAGGTACCATGGAACACTCAAAGTTTCATCAGATATTGAAGATGCCAAGGTCATTCCCCACATCCTCAGCCATCTCCCATCATCCTGACTCTTGTCTTTTCTCTGGACTTCAATGACTGTGGAAGATAGAGTGAGGCTGACAACTTTGTGCAACTGTGTGTCACTTAAATCCAATTCATGAGCTAGTCACCCTGTGATGAAATTGGTCCTCTTTGGAAAACAAAGTTTGGGGCAGCCAGCTGGCATAGTGAATAGAGTACAGGCCCTGGAGTCAGGAAAACCTGAGTCTAAATCCAGCCTCAGACACTCACTAGCTGTGTGACCCTGAGCAAGTTAACCCTGATTGCCTCTAACAAAAGAAAGAAAGAAAGAAAGAAAGAAACAAAGAAAGAAAGAAGAAAGAAAGAAAGAAAGAAAGAAAGAAAGGAAGGAAGGAAGGAAGGAAGGAAGGAAGGAAGGAAGGAAGGAAGGAAGGAAGGAAGGAAGGAAGGAAGGAAAAGAAAAACAAAGGATAAACAACAATCTTGGTTAATTCATTTAATCTCTCTGGGCCTCTTTCTACATCTAGAAGTTGAGGGCCTTGATTAGATGAGCTATAGTATACCTTTCAGTTCTAAATGTATGATACTCTTAAATTTTATTGCTTTTGGATATTCACTTAGACTGTGGTTATCAGTTTGGTTTCTCTTCATCAACCTCTGTGGCCATGAGATCTATAGCTTCCAAAGATTAATAAACCAAGCAAATTTTCTTTAAAAAAAAAAAGTTTCCTCTGAAAATTTCAATAATTCCACAACTGATAAAATCACAAAATTAAATCAAAGATTACCTAACTGGATCTTTCCTTCAACAAGGTTCTCTTTTGTAATGTACCTAACAAATGATCAGCTGGAATTGACAAGAAACCCTTCAATGAAAGGCTTCACAAAATATGATACAGGAGCATTAAATAATATTTTCTACTGTATCTACATATCCTGGTCATCAAGTGTCTGGTTTTCATTCAAAAGTTCTATTAATATGGCTTCTCTTGAACCCAAAACTTATGACATATTTACCTTTAATACTATGGGCAAAATTGAAATCCTTTAAAAAAACTTCCTACTTGAAATCCGTTGTCCTTTTCCCATTGTCTTTTTTCCAAAGGGTAGACAGATATTTGACCTTATTTAACTCTTCCAATATTCTTTTGACCAGTTTGTTTAAATCATTCCAGGGAAATAGGGCTAAGAACATCCTTTTTATTGAAAGGAACTGAAGAAAAGCAACATATCCTTCCATGTTGCATTCATGGGGAAATCTTATGGGATCAACTGAGTTCTTTTGTGGGCATTCTGTGTCTTTGCTTCCCTAGATTTCACATGCTCCCGACATCTTATTTGTATTTGAATATTCCATAAAGTTTATATTTAAATTTTATGTTTAAATATAATTTAATTACTTGATGTTTACACATGTTCATAGTTAACTTATTTTCTCTTAAAATAATATTTTCATTTTAAATCATTCACTATTGATGATATTGTACTTTTTCAAACTTGGGAGATGATTAAATGCTATACGAAGGTGAAGCATAATTAGTATTATTGAGGAAGGAATTTGTGCGTCCCCCTATCCCTTTTGCTTTTTTAACTTCTTAAGGATGCGCAGGCGAATCTGCTTGGTCTTGACACTATACACAATAGGGTTCATGAGTGGAGGAACAAGAAGATAGACATTGGCCATGAGCACATGGACTATTGGGGAAGCATTCTGCCCATAGCGACGGATCATAGACAACCCAATCATGGGTGTGTAGAAGGTAAGCACAGCACAGATATGGGAGATACAGGTGTTTAGAGCTTTAACACGCTCTGACTTAGAAGCAATGCTCAGCACTGTGGCCAGAATGAGTATATAGGACAGAAGAAGCAATATTGAGTCTAGTCCCATGGAAAAGATGACCACCATGAGGCCATAGATACTGCTAATCCTCCGACTGGATACTGTCATCTTAATGAGGTCCTGGTGCAGACAAAAAGAATAGGAAAGGGCATTGATGGGTTGGTACTGTAACCTTTTCAAGAGGAAGGAGGCTGGGAAGACCAAAGTCAGTGCCCTTCCAGCAATAGTTAGCCCAATCCCAATAATTACCCCATTGGTAAGGATGGTTGAATAGCGCAGGGGCTCACGGATGGCCACAAAACGATCAAATGCCATGGCCAACAGCACAGCAGATTCAATGATAGAGAACACATGGATGAAGTACATCTGAATCAAGCAGGCATTGAAAGGGATCTCTCGGGCATGGAACCAGAAGACACTGAGCATAGTAGGCAATGTAGTGCTAGATAGACCCAGGTCTGTCAGAGCCAACATTGACAGAAAGTAGTACATGGGCTGGTGGAGTGAGGGATCTGTCTGAATGATAAAGAGAATGGTGGTATTTCCTGCTATAGATATAATGTAGACCAGGCAGATGGGGATGGAGATCAAACCATACATGGCCTCAAACCCTGGGAAACCTGTTAGAAGAAACCTAGGGTAGAGGGCAGAGGAATTGAAGACAGACATGATGCTCACTGGAATGGATTCCTTCCCTGGAATGAAAGAAGAACAAATATTACTAAGTCTTTACTAATTGATCTCCAGTAAGTAGGTGGACAATTATTATCACAATTTATAATCATCATACCTTTCATCACCATCATCATCGTCAATAGCATCAAATCTCTATATATATGTCTCTCTTTCTCTCTGTGTGTGTCTTTCTTTCTCTCTGCACATAGATAGATAGATAGATAGATACAGATATATATAGATATATACACACACATATTATATGTACACAGTATCTAGTTATGTATCTATTTATATTTTGTTGTTGTTCAGTTGTTTTTTTCAGTTGTGTTCAACTCTTCATAACACTATTTGGGGTTTTCTTGGCAAAGATACTGGAGTGGTTTGCCATTTCCTTCTCTAGATCATTTTATAGATGAGAAACTGAGGCAAACAGGATTAAGTGACTTACCCGGGGTCACACAGCTAGTATCTGTCTAAGGCCAGATTTAAATTCAGGAAGATGAGTCTGATTTCCTTCTATAAACTGTGCCACCTAGCTGCTATCTATCTATATGTATCTACATACATATAACTGTTGATGTATATAGTTTCTATAGATATGTAGGTAGATACATACATACATACGTATATACACACATATATGCATACATACATGAGTACATATGTATGTACATACATACTGAGCCTCTCCTGATAATGTAGCACATTGCTAGGCATTGTGTAGTATAGAAAATACAGTTACTGCCTTTAAGAAGAACTAGTTGGGGAGATAATTTTTTAGTGAATGAAATGTTTTGAAGAAAGTTGTCAGTTTATCCTCCTCTTCTTGTTATTGTTTTACAGAAAGGAGGGAAGAAAATGCCCTAGAAAGACAATTGTGCATGCAATAGGCAATAAAACTTGGGGCTAGACATCAGCATAAAAAATTCCCATAGCATTTTAAATCCATTAATGTTGCATTAACTGCTGACTCCCACAGCCCATAGTTAGACAAGGTTAGTGGGTAAGCTGGAATGTTATAGGGACTGAGTACTAATTTGGGGTTGAAGTCCCTGGGTCTTGACTTGTGTACCCTTTAGTATATCACTTCATCTTTCTGGACCTCACTTTCTCTATCAGTAAAAAAGAGGAGAGTGAATTATTAGCTATCCAACTACTTTTCAACTCTAAACCCTGTGATTAAATTAATATTCCTGAGACTTCTACTCTCACAGGTTAATCCCTGAGAGGAAGACCCAGAGGCTTGTATGGATGGAGACCAAATACTTATGTGGATGAAAAATCTCCTTGGAGCATATAATCTAGTACGATTTTTTTTTTCACTTTTGAAATTGACCAGAATGATGCTGTAGTATTTTTTGTCTCACCCATTAAAATATAGTTGGTCTTGAGAAATTGTCTTGGTTCAAATCCACCTCTAATGCATGCTGGCTTTGTAGGCCTTCGTAAGTTACTTAACATCTCATTGACCCCCACCCCCCCAACAACTCTCTAAAACTATAAGTAGCAGATTAGTTACAGATATGTATTGACAGAGGGAGTTTTCTTACAGGGGATCCCCTACATCAATGAAAGTGTTGATCTGATCAGACACACATAAATGCAACTATTCTCATCTACCCACCCCAACAAGCCATCACCAGTGCCAGTGAAATTTGAAGACTGTCTTCTGGATGCTGGCCTTCCATTTCTATTCTGAAATTAGGGGTGTGCCAGGAAATGTCTTATAACTGGCTCTCCAAAAAAAAAATTCATGAAAGAACACATGAAACACTTTTAAGTTGAATCTGCGTTATTAACTTTTTCTTCTTCACTTTGTTAAGTCTAAACAATAAAAAAAGGAAATCAAGCTCTGATTTTTATTGCTTGCCAAATTTTAAATTCTAAATGCTTACACTGAAAATTCAAAAACCAACTCTCTAGATCCTGGAGGAGCTGGCTCTAGCACACTCATTACTGAAGCCATAAATAAAGGGAATTCAGCCTATTGATTAGACTTCCCCTTATATATTTTCATACTCATTTCTTTGTTTTTGTATGGTATTGGACATGTGGTCACCTTTACCTCCAGAAAGTTTGATTGACTTTAGTTCTAGGAAATAAGCTTTGCCTAGGACGCTGTTCATTTTTCAGAGAACCACACCAACTCAAAACTGGAAAGGACATAACTGAGAAGTAGAACACTAGCTTGAAAAACTTCAGTGATTAAGAAATCACTACCCTATAGGGCAGTTTACTCTGATTTTGAACATCTTGTTCCTTGGACTAAAAATCACAGAATAAGTAGAAGTGATAGGGTGTTCATAACCAAGTTAGGTAAGACAATAATCATAAGAGAGACTCCCTCTCCCCCTTCTTAATGAGTTCAAGTCACCTGACTTGAAACCACATCCTTGAGTGGAAGGAAAACAAAGAAAGAACTGGATAGATGTGATTTCCCAAGCTACTGTCAGTGATTTTTGAAAGTTTGTGGCAAAAGTGCTGCAAGACTAGAAAAGGGGGAATATCCACATTTTCAAAAAAGGAAGATAATGGAGTCTGTAAACTAGAGCTAGTGAGACTGATTTAAAATCCCGGCCAAATTCTAGAACTCTTTAAAGAAATGATAAATGCATGTCGTAGAAGTGGGTATACCAACATGAAATGATACCTGACCCTTCTTCATCCCTTCTGTGCTTTAGGTGTCCTATAGAGGAAGTGACTTCAGACCCATTTCTATATTAAGGGATTCAAAACATTAGAAAGCCACATGGATAAAGATGGGATGAAGAGATATTTTCAGAACAGTTGTATCACTTTAGAACTTTGAGAAAATGTATAAACAAAACCCCCAAATTCTGCTATGTAACAATCCTGCTTGTGGATTAAAAATTCTAGCCTGCCTCCCCCTACCCAGAGCATTCATCTAATTGCTGTCTGGAAGTTAGTCTTCAGTAGTGGAATACTCTCTCTCTCTTCATATATATATATATATATATATATATATATATATGGATATATATATATGGATATGTATATATATATATATATATATGGATATGTATATGGATATATATGGAGATGTATAATATGGATATGGATATATATGTGTGTGTGTGTATATATATACACATATATCCATATATATACACACACATATATCCATATATATATATATATACACACATATATATATATATACACACATATATATATACACACATATATATACACACACATATATCCATATATATACACACACACATATATATGCACACATATATCCATATATATATATATACACACACACATACACACATATATCCATATATATACACACACATATATATGCACACATATATCCATATATATATATATATACACACATACACACATATATCCATATATATACACACACATATATATGCACACATATATCCATATATATATATATATATACACACACACATACACACATATATCCATATATATATACACACACACATATATCCATATATATATATATATATATATACACACACACAAATATATGAACATGTTATTTCCTTCATCAAAACTCCTCCTTATCCAGGGAGTTTTTGTAGGCTAGACATAAGGCCTTCTCTCATTTCCTTCAAATCTCAGCTAAAGTCTCACCTTCTGCATGAAGCCTTCCCTGGTCCTTCTTGATCTTTATACCTTCCTTTCTATCAATCATCTCCAATTTATCCTGTCTTTATCTTGATGGAGCACACTTATTTGCAATTTGTCTCTTTTATTAGACTGTGACCTCTATGACAGCAGGACTATTTTTTATTTTTTATTTTTTTGCTTTTTTCTGTATCTTCAGTGCTTAGTATCATACCTGGAATGTAGCAGGTGGTTTAACAATGCTTGTTGATGACTTCTGATGAAAGTTTTGCTAAGGACATTAGTAAGGATCTTTAATAGTATGGGGAAAAATTCTGAAATTATGAGAACTGTGTGATGCAAAGGAATGACTACCTGATGGGATGTATGAACCCATTAGTTCTGTTAGTAATTGAGTTGTGAGATCTTGACTAAATCACTTTCTATCTCTCAGCTTGGTCTACTCTTCTGTAAAATTGGATGGTGTGGGAGCAGTTAGGTGTTTGATAGAGCACTGGCCTTGAAGTCAGGAGGACTTGAGTTCAAATGTGACCTCAGACACTTACTCTGTGACCCTGGACAAATCACTTAACTCAGATTGCCTCCTACCAAAAAAAAAAAAGTGGTTTTCTTAAATGATATCTGAGTTCCTTTCCAGCACAGATATTGTAAGTTTCTACAAAGTACCAAATACAATTTCCATTTCCTTCAAGTCCAGTCTCTCCACTCTCCCCAGTGACAATATTGCTGCACTCATTCTCAACAATCTGACTTTACTCAGGCCATCTCAGAATATCTTCCCCCTCCCAAGGTCTCTCAGATTAAGATTAAGTTGATCCATTAAAAATCATCTGATCTTCTAAGGCTTGTCTGTCCCACAAAACCTTTCCAGAATACTCCTGCTCAGACTAATCTTGTTATATCTAACCTTCTACTTGCACTCCCCTAAAACTCTCATTCATATATTAACCAAAGGTTTTTAATTCTTCAGTTCTTCATTCTTTCATACTACAGCGTCATTCTTATGATTCCTCCTGTAAGGAGGTGTACCATGTACAATGATGGGTATAATGAAGTTAATCCTAGTACAAAAAATGATAATCATACCATTGTTCATAGCTACTCAACTACATTAAGATTTAAGCTGTCAAAAGGAAGCTGGAAAGAATGACTTAATTGGGGCTGATCATTCTAAGACAAAGTGCAGGTCCTGACTGAGGGAAAGACTTTTGAACTAGGAGGACTATTGAACTGGAGAGGCTAGACTATTCCCATCTCATTGCTGGAAGTTACAGACCTCAGAGCCAAGACAAGAACTGACCTCTAAAGGCACCTAGCTTCCCTCTTCTCCCATTGGAGAGTCCATTCCCGAACTTCCTCCCCTGAACACTAAACCCCCATCCCCAAGCTTGCCAGAAGGAACCCAGAGTCCCCTCTTCACTCTGAACTGAAGGCCCACCCCCTCCTTCCCTGTGGCAGCAGGCTTCTGTGGGGACAGACACTGTTATGCTCTCCTATCTCTGGACTTTCTCATTCACTTCACTCTGAACTGTCCTATATGAATTG